GAAATTTTATTCTTTCTTCTCCTGATCAAAAGGTGAAATTGTAATTAATTTAACAAACTAATTTTTCTACTGCTGTGTTTTATTTGGTTACTTACCATTGTGATTATTTTCAGTGAATACTAAATTAGGGATTTGGAAGAAATTAATGAGGAAAGAAAGTTTCCATATCTGTTGGAGGGTGTTTTTTCTTTGTTGTTTTAACATGATTATGTTTATGGAAATGAACCAGCAGATATACCTTTAGTAAAAACATTCTGTCTTCCATCATCTTTTCAATTTTGTGAAGAAGGGCGGGAAAAAATTGTTCTATTCTCTGAGATGAATAGAATAGTTATATGAAAAGCATGGTTTAATAGATTAAATCAAATTTCTCTATGAAAAAAAGAATTAATTGAAATATTATCAGTTTTTATTTTCACAATTTTTTTATTGTATAATGGCAGTTAAAAAAGGATAAAAACATCTATTATTGTTGCTTTGAAGGCAATTATTGCTCTATATACTAACTTTGTAACACTTTTCATAGTGCTAAATGTCTATGTTCCACTTTGGGTATTTAAAATATATATATAATAGATTGTTCTTCAACTAATTCATCTTCTTGGGTTAGGGTTGAGACGTGTTCTCCTATATATCTAACTAAAACACAGATTGAATTAGACTGGTATCTGTCTTATACTTGTCTACTTGTTTAAATTACACTATTGAATTTTCTTTCAAGGAAAATCGTTCCTTCTCTTCAGGCAGGGAAAGAGATCAAGAGACAAGATATGATACTCTTCATGTATTTGACCTTGTAGCAAGCATCTACATCATAAACAACTATTGTGTACATCTACCATAAATAATCTCAACAATAAACTCGTTCTTTCCTGAATATTTAATGTAACATTAATTGTTATACTGATAAATTTGATATGACAGTAATGTAAAAATAACATGAATTCTAAGTACATAACAAGTATTTCATATATCAAAATCAATTTATAACTACAAAACTTTATTGTTATTAGTCCAATACTAAAGGAAAGCAAACACTTCCAGTTGTTTATACTGAATGTTCAATAAAATATTCAAAATATCCAAAAATTTTTGAAATAAAATATTTCATTCTAATTTCAAAGCTAATTTGTAAATATTTTGGATTTCAAAACAAATTGAACAAATCGAGACCATTTAATCTACAGTTGACCTCTTCAGTTGATATTAATTGTAATTTAACAAGTCAAAAATTGAAATTTTGCAGTTTTACATCATCATCAAAATTATATTTGTCAGTTATAAATATTCCTTTCTTCTTTTAGCATTTAAACTGTAAATATACTAATTGTATGCTGCAAATGAATATTATTGTTAATCATTCAAGTATATTAGTATTGAGTTAAGTCAACATTTTTCACATTCATAAGTTTACATTAGCCAAAAAGGAAAATTCCATTGTACTTTCCTGCTGGGTTTGTAGGTAAGTACTCGTCCAAATAGAACCGAAATAGGCGTAAGCCACTTAGAAGAGAGATGTAGAATTGACGGAAGATGGATATGGAAATAAAGCGTAAGAATAATAGAATTTTAAAATAATACTAGACCTGTTCCCTAAGAGAGTTCATTCAGGACTGAATGCCTGTTACTACCTACGCCCTGCTTTTTATACAATTCCTTATCAGTTGTTTATGACGTAAATGTCAACAACAAGGGTCTAACACCAGATAAGGATTGTTCACAACAAACTTGGTCAAGGGTTATCATATTATGCCATAGTAATGTAAACAACAACAGCTTTGTGAAGGTAACCCCCAAGGGTCAATTGTTATATGATGTTTATGTGAATAAACACTTGCTGTTGTTGTCAACATGTTTGGTTGTGTAACACCTTATCCTTTGCCCATAAAGTTGGGTACCATCCACCCTAGTGGCAACATATACTTCAACACTTCCATCATATAGTAAGTATTATTTATATAATCTCTATTAACTATGGTTCTATAAGTGTACATTAATGATAATATAATTTGCACATGTCATTTATTCATTCCACTTGAGATAGAAAAAAAACACAATAACACAATAATTGAGCAATTTTTATAACAATTTTAAAAATTAGCAGGAATACAAATACTGCTTCAATGTCAAAAATTGTTCTAACATAGCAATTATTTATTTTCACCGATTTTTCATCTTTACTTCTGTATACACATTCAGAACTCCAAAATTGAACAATAGCAATGTTCTCCCTGTTTCAGATGACTATTTATACATGTGACTAAATATTTCACACTTTTTCCTGTTTAATCCAATTCAAAATTCATATTTATATCATCCATATCTTTATTTATATCAACCCCTAATTATTTATCTACATAAGGGGCACTCTGGTTTCTGTAAACTTAAAACACACTGTTTACATATAATTACATGAGCACACGTTAACAGTAAAATGTTTGCCATTCGAGCAAGACAAACCTTGCACTGAAGACTAGTTTTCAACTGTTCAAAAACAATTTTTTCTTCACTAACTGAACTATCCAAATTATCATTGCTATCACTGAAATAGAGAAAACTGGTAAGTATAAAATAAAAAAACCAAAGCAAACCTTACTTAATTGACATTTAAAGAGGAATAATAAATTTGGAGTCTTATATAGTTGAAAATTTATAAAAAAGGGGAACTATCCGGGAGGAATGACTGTTTCAAAATAAAATGATTAATTTGTACTAACCGATTTTCTATTCAACTATTAAGAATTTTTATCCTTCACACCTCCTTTTCTATTGATCTTTTTTCTCATGTTGATGGAAAAAGGAAAAGCAAGGACAGAAATTTTAAAACCTTGTCTACAGTAATTTAGAATTGAAAATATAAAAGCAGAATATATAACCATACAGAGGTTATAGTATGGTTATAATGTGTTTATAGCTTATAATAAGTGAAAAACAAAACTGGTGTAAATAAATCATCCCTAAATAAGAAGATAAAATATCTGTTCAATTTTCACTGGATTATGTTTGAATAGTAATGGGAACAAGAATTTATCATTACCTACTGAGTCATGCCATTTCCTGGTGTGACACATAAACTACAACTTGTGTTGTTAATTTCCATACAGGATCAACTTTTATTATGCAAAAGGCTTGGCCAAGTTATGATTCAATTAGCACTCTAAAGATGTGGTCGAGCTTTAATTCAATAGCTGCAGAAGGTGTGTTGTAATTCAATTAGGGATGCGACAGAAAACGTCCACAAATTGGTGCTTTTACCCTAACCCTAACCCAGCCCTTAGCTGTACCTAACCTTTTCCATTACCCCTAACCCTTAAAGGAGACCCTCCTAAGTACAGATCAGTTGCTGTTTTCTTCTGCCTAACCATTTCTCAATCCAAATTTTTGTCTTGAAATTTCTCATTTGTGGACGTTTTCTGTCGGCCCCTTCAATTAGCCTTAAAACGTGGACCAGTTTTAATTCAATAAGTCCACCTAAGTGTTGGACCTTGTAACATCTTGTTACTAAATATAAATATAAATTAGACAATGTGTCAATTGTAAAGTGATGATTAGATATAAGAAGCAAACTTCAAAGTATTTAAACACTCACTCTTCTCCCCCAAGAGTGGTATCTCAATCTAATGATTGAGGAAGATCACCTGGAAGCAACCTACAATGAACCAAGCCTTCTACTCCTCATTGTTGGATGCTGGTTTGGTAACTTAGCAGCCAGTTTAGATATTAAAATATACTGAATAACTACTTTGAATTGATAATAATAATAATGAATATGTCGAAATTAATATCATTAAAGTAAAACTATCAAAAAATTGTTCTTTTATAAAATTCCGTTTTAGTAATAAAGGGGGATATTGGTTAAATATGAGTCATCATCTATTTAATCAAAAACTAGGTGGCTAAGCTGCATAAATAAATAGGAAATTATCTTATTATAATTATATCTTTGGTTATTCAGAAAAATGGTTGGAGGTTAGATGAAATATTTGTTAACTTACCCTTAATACTTGTCAATATGCTTTTTTCTTCTTTTATGTCATGAAAATAAATGTCAAAAGAATCTTTGCTTTCTTTCTTCATCTTTCCTTAAAATGGAATGGATGGAGAAAGTTTAACAATGGTTCTTTGACAACCCCAAATGTACCATCCAAATACCAAACTTTGCTTTTGGACAAAAAAAGATCACACTATTACTTGGAAGCAAATATGATTATTCTTTGATTTTCTAATGAAATATCTATTTGCAGGAAGTTGTCAGGAAGAAAATTAACCTTTAATTTAGAGAAAGGATCATTTGCTGTGATCTGGGAGACCTTAAATCTTAATTTCAAGGTCATAACAGTTGTGTTAAAATTATTTAATAGATTACGAAATAATCTAGACCAGAAACATATTTTGACAGTCAATAAACTCACATGTTTACAGTTTTTATCTTTGGTAATAATTACTTTCATATCACAGATTCTATCATGTTTTCTTATTATTAGTTCTCATGAACATTTTTTTTTCTAATCTTACCAAACCAAATTTTAATGGATTATTTAATGTCACTGATGGGCTATAAGACCATGATGGTTGACATCATAGGCTGAATCAGAATCTTCAATCCCACTCTGCATTCTATTCCATTTTAGAACTGAAAAGAGAAGCAAATCTCATAAAACTAAAAAAGAAATTGCTGATTAAAACTAAATGAAATTGCTTTATTCCCATTATTTAATCTACGTAGCGCTTCTGATATTTATACCCTCAGTCTAAAATATCTTTGTTCTTCAATGTTCAAATTAAAATATTCTATGTGTGGAGTAAATTTGTAAAAAGAGAATTGAATTTTAATAAATTATTAGATAGACTAGTTGTTACAAATATTATTTGAGAGTTTTTATTTCTTGCTCTACATTTTAGTTAAATAGACCTTTTATTTTAATAAAAGTATGTACGCAATATCTTGGGTATAAATGCCTTAAAGTAGGTCAAAAAAATTGCTATTAATTATTACATTCCTTCTTGTTACCTACAGTCATTTTATCCCATCTGTTCTATTTTCACTTAATTTACTATACACATTCATTCACTCTCAGCTTAAATCAATTAGTTGGCGCAATCTGTGGATGGAAACATTTGGCAGTTGGACAATATTTTCCAATAAATATGGTTAAACAAAAGCTTTTAAATATATTACTGCTTAGTAATCAATTTTTTGCATTTATGGTGAAAATTACATATATTAAACAAGTTTAATTACCACTCAGCAATTTATTCTTCTTTATGAAATAGGCATAAAGAAGATACTCTTGCTCTATTCCTAAATAGAGGCAGATTTTGTTTAATAACTTTTCTATAATAGGAAAACACACTCAAAGAATTTATATGTTTTGCAGCACAAATAGAAAGCGCTTCCTAGGCCTACATTATTGAAGTAATTACAAATCTGTAACAGCTGAATTAGTTGGAAACTTATCAGTCATTGTTGTTTTTTCTGAAGAGCAATCCGTTTTTGCTTATGGATTAAAATTTCTTTCGAAAAATGACTCTCACTCTTAATTATATGTTATTACTTAAAATTCTGTCTACTGTACAAGTTCTACACTGCAATGAAGATGAGCTGACATTTATTGCTATAGGTGACTGGGGAATGGACAAAGCGAATGGATCAGTAAATGGTCAATTGAGAGTTGCGGATAGCATGGCTAGATGGGCAAATGATGTGAATAATTTGAATTTTATTTTAACTTTGGGAGACAATTTTTATCCTGTTGGAACATTCAATGTTACTGATAAGCAGTATGATACTAAGTGGAGAGAGGTGTGTATAAATGACTCAGAATTCTCATCCTATTTTCTCTATCTTTTTCTCCCTATATTGGCCTACTCAATTTCAGGTGTACATTAATCCATATCCATCTTTAAGAGTTGACTGGCAAATTGTACTTGGTAACCATGACCACAAACTAAACAATGGAAAAAACCAAATTGAATTTTCTAAGTTTGAACCACTTTGGAAAATTCCAAATTTCTTTTACTCCTTTACAAAAGAATTGAAAACATTTCAAATATTATTCGTTATCATTGATACAGAACTGATGCTTAATAATTCAAATAAAAAGGAGCAGCTAACATTTTTAGACAAAACTCTATTCAATAGCAAAGCCAATTGGAAATTTGTGGCAACTCATTACCCAATTTTTTCAACATCTACTCATGGAAATAATATTGAATTAATTAATGATTTAAGACCAATTCTGATTAATAATAATGCTGATTTCTACATTTTTGGTCATGATCATGTGTTACAGCATCTTAGTAGTGTAGCCAATGATCCTGTTGATTATATAGGAAGTGGTGGTGGTAGTCAAATCCCATATGATCAAGTACAAGATCACATTGAAGAACTAAAGAAATGGAATCTTAAATCAAATATGTATGGTCAATTTAATGGTTTTGTTGGCTTTACCCTTACAAAGTACACTGCAACTGTTGATTTTATTAAGGATAATGGAGATATTTTTTATAGTTTTACTAGAGTTAGAAATTAGTACAGCAATATTTTTTCACAATGGATATAAAGGAAAATTTAAATGAAAAAGGTGGATTTGGCTCTGGATGTAACACTAATTTGAAAGCAATTTTATTGAAGCTATAAATGCTATATATATAAATATATATATATTTGAAAATTGTCTGTGTACTCTCCTGCTGTGAGGTTGTAAGTAAGTACTCGTCCAAATAGAACCGAATTAGGAGTAAGCCACTTAGAAGAGAGATGTAGAATTGAGGGAGGATTTTTCTTCTTTACAGGCGATTTTTTGAATAATCCATTGATTCTACTCAGTAGAGTTTGAACAGAAGTTGAATAACAAAAGCAATTTTACTCCTCCTTTTCCTGTTCTAAAAGCCCTACTTATGTCTTTTTGTATCAATGTCAATTTTATTTATTATAAAACACCATTATTTTTCATGGTGTGGTCAAAAACTGGTAAAAGAAATAGACATTAATTTCTTAATGAGTGCCTTCCATTATAAAAGTAAAATGAAACTGTTACATCAGTGTTGTTAAAACTTTCTCTGTAAATTCAATATTTTTTGTTAATGACTGATTTTATCAGCTAAAATTACTGACAAACAGTCACAAATCTTAGTATAGAAAATGAAATATATTCATTTCATTTTCTTCTTCTCTCTATTATTAAAATATCAGATGAAATCGAAGAAAAATTGAATTTTGTAATATTCAAAAAAAGTAAAATTTCTGTCAAAATTTCAGTTTTTGGAATTGTAAATAAAAATGAAAAATTCCAAATTAATTTTGATGATATTTCTATGTCATATTTCGAAAATTATAAATATATTTATTGCAAAAAGAATGGTTATGATAAAGATTTTGCAAAGGCCTATTTTATAAGAAAAGATGATTTTAGTGAAACAAGAAAGATGATAAAAGAAAATCATAATTTTAACTTGTAAAATAAAATCTTATGTTTTAGTAAAATAGAAAAAAAATTGAAAAAATATTTCTTGTTTTTTCAGTAAAGAAAGAAGTGTTTTAACAAAATTTCATTTAATTTTTGGAATATTCCCAACACAATCAGTTAAATATTTTGTAATTTATTCAAAGAATATAAAATTCATTGAAAGTGAAAGGTTTCAAATGTGTTGTTTAGCTTGGAAATTATATGGAAAATATTTAAAATGCCAACCAAAACCATCCAATTTTTTGACTTGTGAAAATATAATACCATCTGTGTTTTTAAGAGTAATTTTTTGGATAATTGGAATAGTTGGTGTCATTGGAAATTTACTTTCATTGATTATTGCTATTCTTACAACTATCAAATCTAAATTGTTCAGAATAGGCTTAATTTGTGGTGATTTATTAACTGCAGTGTATATTTTATCAATTGCAGCTGTAGATTTTCATTTTTCTGGTACAAGCTATTTAGAAAATGAGGAAAAATGGAGATATAGCCATGGTTGTACAGCTCTTGGTACAATTTTATCTTTTTCATTATTACTATCAATATTTTCAATTTTGTTTTTGGCAATTGAGCAATACGAAGCAATAAAAAGTCCATTGAAAACACCATTTACTGCAAAGTATAGTGGAGTTATAATTTCACTTACTACTATTTTTACATGTCTTCTGTCACTTGCCCCAATAGTTTTCTATACAGTAAACTTAAATTTTAAAAAATTATCTTTTAAATATGCAATTTTTTAGAAATATTACGCAAAGTCAACAATATGCTTTAACATACAAATTAGAAGTGATGAAACTGAAGGTTGGATCCTTTCTTTTATTATTTATGGAATGTTATTTTTCATCATAAGTGTTGTAATATGTCTCTTATATGTAAAACTTGCATTAACAATTACAAAAACATCTTTATCAAAAAAACAAACTTTGTCGAAGACTTTCTTTGTATTAACATTTTCAAATATTTTATGTTGGTTTCCAATTTCAGTTTTATGTTTGTACTTTGAATTCATTTATTTAAATTTATTTGAAAAATTTTATTCTTTAGCAATTACATCAAAATTTATTAATATTGATTTGAAAAATGATCTTTATATTATATTTCTAATTTCACTTATTCCTATAAATTCATTACTAAATCCATACCTTTTTTGTCTTCATCAAATTTTAATTTATAAGAAAAACAAATTAATCAAAAAGAAAGAAAAAACAGAGGCAATGGTTAAATCATTAACAGACAAAATAAAAGCAAAATGTTATTAATTTTCTTTGATTTCAAATATTTAAAATATGAATACCTATTATATTCATTGTGAACAATTTAGCTTGTCAACAAATTTAAGTTGTAAAGATGACATTTTAAGATTTGGAACTTTTGTTAGAAAACTTCTTCAAAATAGAATTTTTACTCAAAATTAAAAGTTAAAAGAACAATTCAATTTTATTCAAATAGTTCATTATTTATTCTTGAATATATTTTTGAGTTTCTAAAATAAAGTTCAATTTTTAAAAACAAATGACAAATTAGTTCTTTTAATCAATTTTTTTGAATTTTAGAAATGTTTCTGGACTTTGCCTATTTTTTTGTTGATAAATAAAAATCTTCCATTTTGTTCTTTGTGAAATAGAAAATTAATTATTAAAGACTCACTATATATACCTTCTACATTGCTTCTGGAACATTCTGTCCTCTTCTTTAGCCATATCACTTATTACTACTTTTGGTGTGAAATGGTAAACACTTGTTACCTTTCACACAACTACAAAAAGTTTTAAATGTGCCTATTTTGTGTTAATTGACAGAAAGATCAATGAATAGGTGTATTTTTTCCCCTTAACATATTTAATTTGTTGTCGCATTTAAAAGACTTTTGAATAGTAGGTCACTCATCAGACACTAGAGAAAGTGCTCTTGCCCTACAAAGACCAGTATTCAGTAAATTAAATTATCATTGTGTTGAAACCATTGAAAAATCTGTATTTTCAGTTTGAACAATTAGGCCTCTGTCAATAAGTATTTTGCAGAAATGTTCTTGCTAGCTTTTGAGCATGAATCCAACTTTTAATAACTTAATTTTAAACAATTATTACCAGGTATACAATTTTATATTGAAAATGTTTTCAATACCCTAAATATGTACAGTACAACCTTTGTGTTAATGAACAATCTTTTCTTTGGTCTTGAGAGAATAAGAAAAAGAGAAGCTTTGATAAAAATAGAGAAGGTAAATGTTAGTTGTATTATATATATAAATACAGATAATTCCTTCTAAAGTAAAATAAGAGAGAAAATGAAGACTATCAAGTTCAGGTAATCGTCAAAATTTATTAATTTGTGTTTAGTTTAGGGCTGAATTATATAGGGATGTAACAAGGTTTACGGTAACTATCATATTAGGAAAAAAAACTGACTAGGCTTAATTTGAAGTAACATTTATATGGCTGATATTAACACCAATCGTATTGACGAAAATAATTGAATAGCGTATATGAAAATACTCACAACAAACTGTTAAAAACACAAAACATGTATAATATTGTACTTAAATGCCAAGATGTGCTTTAGCCAGACACTGTTGAAATTGTAGTCTTTCCATGTTCTCTTTGCTTTGATTTTTTTGCACACGACAATAATTGGATTGTTTGCTCTCGAAATGTTTGTCCACATAAGCAATATATAAAGAAATTAATCATGTGATTAGTAAAATTTAATATAAATGTTGCTTCGTAAATTGTCTTTTCAATTGGATTAGAATAGTATCTTGCTGAGAAAAGACGAACATAAATACTAAAACAACATAAAGGAAAGGTAAGAACAATAAAACTTGTCGAAATCGCTAAATTTAAAATAGTTAATCTTTTTGTTAAATTTTTCAATTTATCATTATCATCATTTTTTGTAACTGAAGAAATATTTTTTCTGTGTTTTCTTAGACTGATTACGATAAGAATATTTAAAAATGCAAGAGAAACTGAAGGAATGTAAGTATACATAAAACTAGTGAAAGTTAAATGATGTTTATACAAATATATGCTACCCCTATTTATTGGTATACATTCAACTCTTGAAGAAGACAGTCTACCTGCATTATCTTGAACAAATGGTATAAATAAGGTTGTTAAACAGGTGACTATAAAGAGGCTTATTATTATCCTATTACAAATTCTTAATGAAGACCATATCTTCGCCTTTGTTGGAAAAGCAATACATAAATATCTATCTACAGTTACTGCAACAAGATTTAGTGATGAAAACTGACAGAAAGAAATATACAAATACACAAATAATTGACAGTAGAATAGCTTGTAGAGTGATACTGGTATAGATTCGATTCTGACCAGAGCCATGCCTCTAAAAGTATAACCTATTAGCGCAATTAAATCTCCAGTTGAAACTGCTGCCAAATAGCGAAAAATTGTTGTCTTCCATAAACTTCCTCTTACAATGATCAAAATAGATAATACATTCAATGGAATTCCAATAGCTATACTGCAAGGCAAAACAGCGTAAGAGAATAGTCTACTAGCAAGAAACTCATTTCTATTTTCCGAAAGTACAGTTGTACCATTTGTAAAATTTGAAAAATTCATTGAAGTTATCTTTCAAAGCAACAAACTTTCACACCAAATTATTAATTTGCTTTTCTTACATACACTTTGTAAAACATTTTTTATATGGTTTTTGTCAGGGCGGAGCCATCAGCTAAATATAAATATCAGAGTAAGCAACTTGCTTTAAAATATATAATTTTACACATTTTATAGGCCTATTTAAAAAAAGTATAACAAAGTTTACTTTTTCAAAGGTTTTTTAGTGCAAACTATGAAATATCTAAATATATTTTAGAAGAGCTTGAATCAGGGACATTTTTATGATTATAGATATGTAAAGCTAAACGTGTGTTTTTGGATGGCAAATTAGCATTACTCTTTGTTTTGAAAGATAAAGATAAAATCCATCTCTTTTTGATAGGAAGCGCTTTGTTCAATAATTTGTCTATGAAGAGACAGAGAAGAGTTATAAGAATCCTATCACATACTCATCACATATCTAAATTCCAATCATTCCACTTTTTTAAAACTAAGAAAGTCACTACTTTTAGGTAAATAGCTGTACTCTTTAAGACACATATTGACAACACCAATTGAATCGCATTGTGTTATATACATAAAAATTGGTCTACGGCAAACAATTTTGATTATTCCATATGACAAAATTTATCAAGAAGAAAAACAGTGCAAAAATTCTAGAGAATAATTGACATTGCAGGTTTTAAATTAGGCGATAAATAATTACACAAGTAATCAAAAGCTACTTTCTCTTCCTATCCATTTTTCGATCTGAAATCTTGCTTTCAAAAATCTCACTTGGCACTCAAACTCTACAGTTGATGCAGCTCGGGACCTACTTTCGCGCAGTGCGATGCGGTGCGGACAGATGTGGAATGTTAAATGCAATACTTCAAACATGAAGACAGATTGTATTATTATTTGATTTAAAAAAATATTAAATACATTTCAATCCTCTCTTTAAGATAGTTTTTATAAATATTTCAAAATAGAAAATATCATTGGAGATTGAATCATCACTTCCGGCCTTTAATTCCTTTGGAAATAGAAAAAAATTCCAATCGTTTATTCTCTTTCCTCTCTGATATTT